AAATAGATATCTAATAATCACTTGCTGGGTGCTGAGAAACAGCATAGGCAGTCAGTTGTGCCCTTCAGTGAGACCAGAAGGGTTTGAGTCATGACTCTGCAAGGAGTGCTTTGAAATGAAGTCTCAGAGCTATTCACAAGCTTCAAAACAAATAATCTCTCTGCTGATGTGTGACATCATGCCTCCAAGGTACAGGGGTCCCAGGGGTGCTGTTAAATGATAGCAGGATGGAGTGCAGTTTGTCCTGACATGATGTTTAGATGCAGAAAACAAGCTTTCAAATTGCTGCCATATCCCTGTGCAGCCTGTGCTGCTGGTTCAGAACAAAGGGGATGTCCAGGTGTTTCAGTTGTTTTTTGCTGAAACTTTGGCTCTGTGAGCAAAAGGGCTGTGGCTTAACTCCACTGAATACTTTCTCTTGGTGCCTGCTTTGAATGTTATTTGGGCAAAGCGTCTCGTGTTTTCTTTTTTTTCCACTTGTTTACCATCTTTAAGACTCTCCTCCAACACTTCCCATGCAAACCTCAGTGGACTCAGCTCTGCAAACCCTGTGAAGCAATGGCAGCTGCCTCTTGAGCAGGCAAGACAACTGAGTTAGGAAAGGCCAGGGAACCCAGAGCCACTAAGCAAAGTAGCTTTGAGGCTTCTAAAGATCTTTGAAGTTCTGGATCTTCAAGCTCTGCCTGTGGTTTAACAGTGTTAGTCCAGGAAACAATCTTCTGGTCTTCTCATGTTCCACTTTTTCCCCTCTTCCAGCTTCTCTGTTTCCATTTTTCTTCTTAGGTCATTTGCTAGGAGTCTTTGCTTTTAACTTCCACTGGCTGAACTTCTCCCTCAAACACACAGCCATAACACTGGAACTAAACCCTGCCTTCAAACTGACTCTTGCTGCTTATTTACTACAGCTTTTACCACAAGAAAATATTTTTCTTTCTGACTCAAAATGAGCCTGGAGAAATATCTTATAATGGCTGAAAGCCTTACATTGGTATCCACAGGCAGAAGGAGAACACAAACACAGGTAACTGAAATAGCTTGTGAGCACTGCAGTGCTGCTGGGGCAGTGGAAATATGTGTGCAAGGTCTTTGGTACTGGACTCCCACATGCAAAGTGGAGTCAGGAGTGTTCCCAGACACCTCTGCCTTTGAGGTTATGTTAGCAAGCGCAAGCAGCTGGGGACACTTTTTGAAATTCGAATCTGCCTTTTCTTGGTTTGCTTGCTCCCCCCGTCGAGTGGCAAGAGTCATTGCTAGAGCTAAAACTCATCTCAGTTCAGCCCATGGTACTTAACAGAAGTCACTTCATCCTTTTATTACACAGGTAGTGAAACAGTGCACCAACACATATAATTTTCAAAAGGAAGCAAGAAGGTGATTCCTCTTTTAAACAAAAGGAGGAATTTAGCCAGCGTGTAGTTATTCAAGTGAGAAGGTGGTCTTTTCTGTATTTAATATTCCAGAGTGGTATTTGATGTAAATCCTTCCCCACAGTTCATTACATTAGCTCTTAGCTCAACCTGAGCATGCTGAGTGCCAAGTTCAGCATGCAGCATGTTTTATCACCAAGGAGAATGACGTCAACCTGGTGATCCTGCAGCTCCCCAGCTCGGGGGAGGAGGTACGGCTTTGTCTTCAGCCTAAAGATGAAATGGAATATGTTTGATAAGATTTTCTTGGTATTTGCAGTGTAGAATGTGTGAGGAATATTGCTTTTTACCTCCATAAAGAACTGTCCCTTTTCGCCTAAAAAAAACCCAAAAAAAACCAAACCCTCAAAAGTTACTTTGCTTGTAATATTATTCTACACAGAAAATGAATTTTTTCCTTTACAGATACCTAAGCTTTACAAGCAGACCCTCAGAGCCCTTTCACAGGTGGGTAAAATGAGCTGCAGGGAAGTACAGGGGCTTGTGGGCATCCACACTGCAGCAAACCCTGGCCTAGTCCTGGGGTAATCTGGCTGCTGCTGAGGGCTCTGGTGAGGATCCTGCCAAAAAACGTGAAGAGAAATGTAGAAAGCAGGTGCTTTATAAAGGTTTGTCTCTGGTGTTTTTCAGAGATACTGGTCAGAGCTCCTGAGATGCCAGAACTTTGTCCTCCCACCCCACTGTGTGCCAGGCTTGGTGAGACTCCTGGGAGAGCCGAATGCCATCGGTGGGCACAGAGTCACAGCACTGTCCCCACGCTGGGTGGTGCCAGCTGTTTCACACTCTGCTTACTGTAAGTAAGGCTCTGCAAGGACACAGCACAAATGTGAGAGCTCAGGAGCAGCTGAGATGCCCAGCCACCCCTCTGGGACTGGGCTGAGAACTGTGTGCATAACATCAGACATGACTTTTGGGGTTAATGAGGAAGAAAGTCTGCAACTGTTGGTATACAGACAATGTTCAGGACATTGTGAGAGCAGAGTGAAGTACTCCTCACCTGATAATCAAGACCTAAAAGCGAGTGGCCTTTCCCAGCCCCTCAAAATGCACGCTGGCAGACTCAGTACCAATATGCTGTCACCTGTTATGACAAAGCTCTGACAAGGCAAGGTCAGAAAGCAGAAAGGGTTTTAGCAGTTTTAGCTGCTCTATCATGCCAGGAACAAAAAAAAAAAAAAAAAAAAAAAAAAAAAAAAAAAAACCCAAAAAAACCCACCAAACAAACAAACAAAAAAGGGCCAAAACACCAACCTACCATCCAACCGAAACCACACAGAAACCCCAACAACAAAAACAAAAAACAAACACCCAAAGCCTTGTTTTAAAATAAGCTGTTCTAAATAAACAAGTGTTCTTTGAACCACAGCAAAGTACGTATGTAACAATGTTTGTTAAGTAAATATCAGTGGCATGTTTAAGTCTGGCTCAGTAGGTATTGGCAAAGTGGTATTTGTGTTGCTTTTGTTGTAACAAGAATCAATCATGTTTGTAGAAGGTGGTCTGAAAAAAGGGACTTTGGATTTGGCATTTTATTTCTTCCATCTGCCTACCAGTAGCCCCACTTTGGGACTTAAAAATCTTTCCTAATACATTGAATTTGGTGAAGCTATATTTACTTCCATTGGCTTAGCTCTGTTCATAATCTGCCCCATGAGTATTACTTCTTACCCATGGATCCACTTCTTAGATAATTTTGTCTTTCTGAAGGAAATCTGTCCTAAGTCTGGTTGCAAATATGTGGTCACATTATTATAGCATATATCTGAAATGTCGCAGTCCTGGGGCTGAACAAAGTTCAGACCTACTTCCACCTTTTCTGATCAGATGCACCCTGAGCTTAGATTTTCTTCTTGTGCTGCAAACAAAGAGAGACAGAGAGCCCCACACAGGCTCTCCATCACTGCTGTGCCACTGTGCTGACCCAGTCATGAGATATTTGTAATGTGCAAACTCTACAGGGACTGAGACAACACAGCCCAAAAGCCAGTGGCTGCTTTTCCATTTGCAGCAAAACAAAAACACAACAAAACTACAAAAAACACCACCAAAAAAAAAAAAAAACCAAACCAAACAAACCAAACCAAACCACCATCCATTTCTAATTTAAACAGCTGTTTATATAGTTGTTTATATTTTTGTCTATTCTTTGACCTTTTGGTTGATATGAACTCTATGTTCAGGTAAGAGTTTAGATATAAACTGTAGTGCACAGAAAAATGCAAAGCAAGAGAACAGGTTGTAACAATGATAGTGCTGAATTTGAAATTCTCCACCAGAAACAAAGGAATTTTTTTCTGTTGGACAGGCTGTGAGGAAGTCGAACTGATTCTGACGTGTCTTTTCCTATATGTCAATACAAGCCACCTCTTGGGGCATGCTTAGAAATTTTCGGCTTAATAAATCCTTCCTGTCACCCTAGGACAACTACATGCTTCCATGTATGGGAGGCAAAATATTTACTTAATCAAGCATTTTATTACACAGACGATGAAATGTATCTGACTCTCACTGCACAGGCACAATAAAACGTAGTTCCAGTACAGCAGCCTGGCTGCAGCTTTCACCTCAGCACAGGGGCACAAGGTGTTGGAGTGGCCCCAGGCATCACCTGATGATTTGCTTTCTAGTATCAGAGAGGGAATGTAAAGGAATTTTGTTTAGAGATTGAGAGAAAACTTGAGCATATTCAACTGGCTGCAAAATACGTCCAAGGCAAGGGAGTTATTGCGCTACTTTTGGCCCAGCCCAGCCTGGACGAGGGCGGCGTGCAGGTGATTTGGGAGCTGCGGAACACCCACCTCAGGGGTGAGAAATGGCAGGTTTGTCCGGCCCCAGCCCTGCTGGAGAGACCCGGGAGCCGCTGAGAGCTGCTGGCTCTCCCTCAGCCTTGCCAGGGCTGTGCTAGCAGCGGGTGTTATTCTCCTGCTCCAGTCTGCAGGGTCAAGCACGTGTTATGGGAAGGAATGGAGGTGGACACGCACAGCAGATGCTGCAGGGGACAGTGCCTGCTGGAGGCAACAATTCAGCTGTGTGTGGATGAAGCCATCACTGGGGAAGCCGCTCCATGGCCCAGCCGAGGGCAGGCAGGGCTCCAGCGGGTGCCGAGCGTGGCGAGCTCGGCTCGGTCCGTAATGTCTGGGGGAAAGGCTGCGTTGGTGAGGCCGGCCTGCGGGAACAGAGCGCCCACCCCAGGAGGAGCGGCGAGCGGTCCGTCCCCAGCGCTGCCCCGGCACAGGGAGGGAGGAAGGCAGGCAGGCAGTGCCCGCCTTCTCCCCGCCCTCAGCCCGGGCGCACCGAGCGAGCCGCGCCCGCCGCGGGAAATGGCGGCGCCACGAGGGGAGGCGCGGCGGCTCATGGCGGCGGGGCCGGCCCCGCTCCGCCCGCGGCGGGCTGAGGTGCTGGAGGCGGCCGGACGGCAGCGGGAGAGCGGCGGAGCTCGGCACGGCCTCCCTCGCACACGGAGAGGCCCCGTCACCGTGCCACCGGAGCGCTCCCGTGCCGTGGCGCCGAGGCCCGGCCTGCCCGGGGCTGTGCCGTGAAGAGGCGCTGCGCCCGCGCCCTGCCCAGGTAAGCGCTGCCCGCCGGGGCCGCTGCCGCCCGGGAGGGGCTGCTCGTGGTGGTGGTTTTGTGAGGTAGCCCGGGACCCACTGCTGCAGCTTTTCTGCGGCTGTTTAAGCCACAGATTTGGTTCTAGATGTTATTTAGCTCCAGGTGTGGGATGAGCACGCTTTTGGCAGAGGGCTCAGCCCCTTGCAGCCGTTTTGTAAAGCAGTTTAGGTGTCGGTATCGCTTCCATCAGAGCAAGTAAAGCTTGAAAAATAAGCGTGTTTGGAAAAGGTTTCAGTAAGGTGGGCTAGGACACCTGAGTCCCAGTATATATTGGCAGCTGAGCACACCACGATAAACGCGATGGAAGGAAGATTGAATAAAAAGGCAGTGTTGTGTTTTGGACTGGCCCAGGACTGCAGTAGAGTCTGACGAGGAAGCAAAGCCTCACCTTTGCACGGTCCCTGCTTTGCTGTGTGCTGCTAAAGAGTGGTATTGATTACTGTTGGGAAACAGATGGGCAGTAAAAAGATTCAACTGAGTTTGAAGACAGGAATAGGAAATCGCCTTCCTGGCTGAGTGGTTAGGCTCTGCTGTCTACTTTAGGAGGGCTCAGTCTGTTCTGAGACTATTCAGGAGTTTCTTATGGTGATTCATCTGGAGGACTAAGAAAGTGGAGCCAGTGGCACTATATTGACTCCACTGATACTATCCTCCTAAATTAAATGGTGAGAGAACAAGGCCTGCCTGTGAGATAAAAGTCAGGACCTACTTGATCTACCTACAATGTTTTAATGACAGTGAGAGCGAGCAAGTAAAAAGTTGTGTGTTTCTGTAGTAAAAGATTGGATGTGTTTGTTTTAAATATATATTAAATGTATTTCGAGGCTGTTGTGTTGTCTCTTGTATTTGTGCTTTTGACGTGTCTCTGCTGTCTAATTGCTCACAGGCCCTTTGTTCCTGGCTCCAGCACCGGGTGTGGAGGGACACTGGACATGCCTTGGATTATGGTAACTGGTTTGGAAACTGTTTTCAGCCTCAGCAACCTGCGTGAGACCAGTGTGGTCTTCTGAAAGGGCTTCACGTGATGCCCTCCAGTGGCAACAACGTGAATTTGAAATCCCAGGGAATTGGAAAAAAAAGGGGTTTTGGCAGCCCTGGCAAAGTCCCCAGTTAGCTGCTGGGGGAGGTGTGGTTAGGGGTGTCCTGTCCTTGGCAGTTCCTGATGCTGCAAGTCCTGCAGGGATGCATGGATCACTGCTGCACATGAGGACTGCCTGAGGGCTTCAGCTGGCCAAAACCAGAGCTTTAGGCATGAGCTTCTGTACTTTGCAGAGGATGGATTTTGCTTTGTACCAGTGAATGCCCATAAGGAAAAGGAAGAAAAAGACCCAACAGGTACCAGGAAAAATGTAGCTTGCAGCACATTATGTTAGAGACAAGGACAACTCATTTTTAACTGACTGTTGCCCTACCACATGGTGTAGTTTAGCCAGAGTTCCTGTATACAGGCCAGAGGTAAGAACTCATTGTACCTCATCTGAGATACCTTTCAGTGCGGAGAAATAGATCAGCACAGTTGTCAAAGTTGAGTGCTATACCCTGAGTTCCAATAAACTGAATACACTGATGGATAAACTGAACATGCAGGGTTGGTGTAAGCTTACAGCTTAGTAGACCTCTGCAGGGGAAGTGGTGTATATAAATCCCAGTAAAGGATTTATATAGAGATTGTTCAGAGCAACAGCTGGTTTTAAGAAACACATGTTGTCAAGTTTTCTTGTGCTGTATAAATATTTAAGTGATGGGGTTTGGATTCCTAAGGGAGGAGAAGCTTGGGCTAGTGCCAACAGGTCAAGCTTTTATTAAACAGAAACATACAAACTCATTTCCCTTACTGCTTTTAACCTAGAAGCCAATTATTGCATATTTGTTCTTTCTTTCAGATAGCTCTGGCACTGCCTCAGCAGTCCTGTGCCATGCCTGGCGATGACCATGGGCCATTCTCCTGAGCAGGCTGCTCTGTACTCAGCCACTGGCAGCATAACAACGGAGCTGTTTGGTACCTGTGGAGTCCCAGTGTAAGGGTGTGTGAGCACCTTGCATTTGGCTCAGAAAATCTGTCCTTGCAACAGTCCAGCAAGAGGGCTGTGAAGTCCTGGGGACTTGTCAATTCAGTTCACCAGCTGGAAAGTATTTTGCCAGGTTAAAGCTATGGTTTAAAGACTTGAGGTGAAAGCTGGTGAAGGGGAGTGGAATCATGGGTTCACCAGCAGCCTTGAGCATTAGAGGCTCTGTTTGGAGGTTCAGATGTCCTCATACCTTTGCTCTGATATCTGTGTGTTACACTCTTTCAGGTATCGACTTGAAAATAAGAATGGGGGTCTCAGTTCTTGGCTGATAGGGGTAACCAGTGGGTAGAAGTTGGACCCAGAGTCAAGGAGTACATTTTCAAGCAAGGAATGGTGCTTTCTCACCACTTCCATCCCCTGCAGAGCTGTACCCTAGAGCTGCTGCTCCCTGGGTGGCCATGCCAGCATCAGCAGGGCACACATGGCCCAAACTGCTTTGCTCACTGGCAGACAAAGCAACTGAGTCTCTGGCCTGCTTACGGGAGGACTGGCAAAGTGACCAAAACAACCTTTTCTGCCCTGAAAATATCTTAATTCCTGGTAGGTTAAGAAATGATGCTGTGCTGGTATAGCTCAGTGTTGCTAAACCCATCCTATGAGGCTTTTGAAACAGATATCCAAGAGCAGCTGGTACTAATCACTGCTGTTAACAACATACTCAGCTCCTGTTTTTGTGGTTTCTAAAGACCTGTTTTTGCAATACTTTTTTAAAGCTCTTTGAGAAAGAACAGACAAGCTTTTGACACACAGTTCTATGTAAAATCTCTAGTTTTGCCAATGGCATTTATTTGTAGAGACCCTGCATATTGTAGAGGCCACTGCTTGTTCCTGGCGATTCCCTAGAATGGAAACTTAAACCAATGATTTTTGTAATGAATGTGCAATAAATCTGTGGAAAAGCTTATCTGTTAAAGATTCTTGATTGAGTTCAGGTAGTTTTAACATACATGGATGAGGCTGTTCAGAGCTGGCCAAGCCTGCTTGTCAGGCAGGGCTTGTCTTGCTTGGTGTCTGGAAGTGGAACCCAAACAAGGATGTCTGAACTGGCTGGGCCAGAGTCCCTCCAGCTTCACTGGACACCCACAGCTTCTAGGGCACAGCATGGAGTGGGATTCTTTAGTGCTGAGGGGGAGAACAGATCTGTGAGTGTGGAGGGAGGGTGCACCCCAGTGGAGGTGAGCATAGCTAAAAAGAAGCAGCTAAAAGTGATGCTTTAGGTTTTTCTGTAAGGACATCAAGCACTGCAAAAAGCCTACCTATCTTTTTTTCCCTGGGTGAATGTGTGAAAAGCATTCTGTAAAAAATGGCTTATGTTTGAGACTGGAGTGCAGGCTTGGGTGTTCCAGAAAGCCTCACTGGGTATGTAGGCACAAACATTTCACACACAGGGGAGGTGTATTTGACTATCTTGTGTCACAGACTTCATGTAGCAACAAGAACACTTGATCAGGAGATCAGCTTCATGGCTGTTTTCAGCTCCAGCAGCTGGAGTGATCATTACTTTTGCTGTTTTTGTTTTTCTTTAAGTTTTTAGCTCTTGAGTAGACTCAGGAGTAGAATTATAGATGGCTTGAGAACTGGGGAGTTCCCTAGGCTTCAGGTGGGTGTTGGGGGAACCTGTAGTCCAGTTGCCAGTGTGCTGTGTGGTGACAGTGTCACCTCTGAGAAGGAAGGTGTTCATTTCTAACGAGAATTCTGGGATGCTGATGGAACCTGTGACCACAGTGGCTTTTTGCTAAGATCCTTCCCAAGAGGATGCAAACTCCTAAGGGCTCAGGCTTGGCAGCTGGATTGGGTCAGGGTCGCTTTGCTCTTACCAGGGGGAAACAGCTGCTGTATAGGGAGTATGATGGTGCAGTTAATGCTGAAAGAGGGCATTGCTCAGGGCAGGTTACCCATGGGTGTGGTAGCTGCAGGACGCACGTTATGGCAGGACAGTCCATGGGGGTGTTGTAATTCCAGTATGTATCCTCAAGATACCAGGTGTTTCCAGTGCAAAGCAGGGGTGGACATAATGCTGGAAGTGTGAGTTGAATGTGTGAAGGTGCTGGGCAATATCTGCATTGAAAAATGCCAGTCTGCAGTTCTCGTAGTCCAGCAGGATGCCAATCCTTCTGGGGGGAACAGTAATTCTGATGTCAGGTGTCATCCCACTGTGCAGGAATTCGTACTTGTGCCTGCAGGCAAGAAAAATAAAGAGCTGAAGGCACCCTGGCTGCTCTCAAAGGGAAGCACTTCCTATACACAGGTGCCCAGGTTGCTCATGAGAGTCACAGGCAGTGATGATAATGTACCGTGTCCAGGGGAGAGCCAGCAGTGCAGCTGAGGCAAGAGGGGAGCTGGCATTTCTGCAGGCAGGTGTGACATATTTGCAGAGGTAGGACAGAGATCAAAACCAGTTAGGTATAGCTGGGTTTAGCCAGGTACGTAGTTTCTGGATTACATAGATCTATTACCCTAGTGTTGCTTCAGTTTCTTGTTTCAATGTGACAATGTCTCATTTCAGTGAGACAATGTACCACAGAGACCCTTCAGCTTGATTCAGTAGCACCGTCTCAGGCAATGGAAATGGGTGCTTTGAAGATGCAAATCTGCCAAAACACAAGTTCTGAAACAAGGAAGTTGGGCAAAATAACCCATACCAAATGCTTCTGGAACACCCTAAAAAAGCAGGAGGATTTGCTTAAGCAGTATCCTTCCAACACCAGTTTACAGGGACAGCAGTGGAATGTCAGAGGCTCCAGTCTCTGATCTGAGCCGATAAAAAATCTCTGGCTTCTCTGCTTCTCTGCCTGCAGGTGTAAGAGTTGTTCCTGTCAGAGACCTGCAGCCTACACAGCCCTTACCTTGAGGGTGTGATGATGTGCCTCATGCACCAGGATGAGTTGTTTGCCCCCAGGTGACCATGTCTTGGAGTGTTCTCAAAAGCCACACCAATTCTGTACTCTGTATCTTCCTCAACTTCCACCTCCCAGTAATGCTTTCCTGGAAATGGGATCAGACTGCCCAGGATGGCAATACATCTGTGGGAGACAGACAGGAGTGTTTTGGCAGGGCCTCTCTATAATGCTTCAGTGTTTAGATATGTTCAGGTATGCATATGCCTGGGCATTACATAGCAATAAACAAAAGCCACTTCTGCTGTCACCCTAGCAGTGCAGTGTGGATTTTTGATTCCAGTGAAATCCCCTTGCTGAGGAGCTGACACCCAGCCTGCAGGTTTCTTTGTGACACCTGCCCTATTTTTACTTGTGGGTAGCTTTGTATAAATAAGTGCCCTAGACACTCCAGGAGGATGGAGAACAGCATCCCATAGTGCCTGGGTTTTCTGGGAAAGTTAATGCTTGTTAGAAAAGAGACTGCTCTAGTGAACCCCAGCATAGTAGGGGGAAAAAGTACAGATTTTGCATTTTCTTTCCAAACAGCCGAGGTCACTCACCATTAGGAACTGAGCACTGTAACAGCATCAAGTTCCTGGGGCAGCTGGGGAGGAGGGAACCTGTGTACACTGGTTCCCTCTGTGTTTGGAGAGATTAGGAAGAATTGAACACAGTAGGAGAACTTGTAATATGCTGGGTACCTGGGCCATGAAATGTATGATAGGAACCATGCAGAAAATAACTCTTTTGTAAGTTGTGTAGTAGAGACAAAGATAATGTAATACAGAGAGACCCTTTATCTTGATTTACTGGCACAGTCTTGAAATCAAAGGAACTGGGTGCTTTGAAGATGCAAGTCTGCAAAAACACAGGTTCTAAAGCAAGAAAATTGGGCAAAATAACCCACTCCAAATGCTTCTAAAACACTCTTAGGAGAGCTTCTGAGCATTCTTACACCTCAGCTTTTTTTAGGAAAAGTACATGGTGTATCAGCTGTCATTGTCAAGGGGGACAGCAGGTTTCACACACACACAACTTTTATGTTTCTATAGTAGCATCTAAAGTTGTAAGTTACAAAGGAAAAGGATGTTGCTGGCAGACACTGAGGTCTTCTGGGCAATGCTGACAGAGCTGCACTCATCATTTGGAGGGCCTATTGTGTAAGGATGGGCATGCACAGCACAGTAGTTGTACTCTGCAGTTCACTTGTTTAGAGCAAGTGTAGAGTTCATTGTGAGTGCATGTAAATGTCTTGGGAACAACTTAAAGGTTGCTGAAATTGGAATTCAGAGAGTCTGTGTTGCTACAGCTTGAGAAGGAAAAGGAATGAAGCAAAATGGATGAGTGAACATCTGTGAACAAAACATGACCATAGTAATGAGAGCTGCAAAGCCTCCAAGGCAAACCTGACTCCACTGAAGAAAGAGTTAGGAAATAAATCAGCCACCCAAACTTAGGAGACCACACAAACTTCAGAAAGAAGAGTTTGCTATGTAATTTCCTTGGGAGCCTTTTTTCCCTTTTTTTTTTTTTTTTTTTTTTTTTTTCTTTTTTCAGTATCTTGGTTTGAAGGAGATTTGTGAAAGTTCATAGTGGTACCAAAACCTCAGCCTTTGAAGGAGATGAGTGTCAGCTCTGGCTGCTTATGTGAAACATAAAAGCATTCCATAGAAGTGGGATGAAATCCCATTTAAGATTACCATGATGGCTTTAATGAAAAGGATCACCAGTCTCCCAACTCTTTCCTACCAAGCCCTCTGGTAGCACTGCATTTCCATGGAGGGAATAAACTGTAGACTTGTATTATCCTGCAATGTCTGTCCTAGTTACATGGTGTTTCTGCGGTTTTGACTGGAAATATGCATTTTGGCAAGCTCAGTCTCTCACTTCAATGGCAAAGGGCCTAATTATTTTTTGAAAGTAATACCTGTTGGTCCAAATAGTATCAGTTATATTCCAGCAAGAGGTAAGTTTTCAGATCCCTTTTCTTTCCTTAGCATTTGTTATGGCACCTAAGTACCTGTTCAAATTTAGCTCAGTGTGCCAGACGTGTAAGTAGGCTTGTACATAATTGTGGCTGCTGTATCTGTAAACCTGTTTAAGAACTTGCATTAATTTCCAATTTCCAAAGAACAGCTGGACAGAGAGATTTCAACTCAAAAAATTAATCAGAGCTGCTGAAAGCCCCATTAGACATTTCCTGGCATCTATTAAAAGAACCAAAGAAACTGCAATGCCCCTGTATACCTTGTAAAGCTGTTATCATAGACAGGCAGATCACACTCTGGGTTTTCCAGTTCATCACATGAAATGGTAAATCCATCATCTAGAATTGCCAGCAGAGGATGGGCTGTATCCTCATTAAGGTAGAAGCAGGTGCCTGCAAGAGAAAATGCCTAAGGATAACTCCAGTATCTCCTTATAACATTAGAATTGCAGCAAGGGTGTGATGAAATGTTATTTGGATCCACAAAAAGATTCACCAGTGCTCTAGAAACAATCTGTGGCTGGCACTGAGAAGACAAGATCATATTTTTAAAATTTTTCTAATAAACGGCTATTTTACAGCTTAACACTTTTTAGTTTCAGCCTTGTGAAAAGCAGGGGACTTAGCCTGGTTTTGAACCCTACCAGGTCTCAAAGGTGCAGGCATTGTGCAGGAAGTAGCTATTCAGAGATGAGGGGTCCTCCCTGCAATGGACTGTCTGGTTTCAAGTAATCTGTTTTTATCACTGAAAAGAGAAAAGGGGCTTAAAGGACTCTCCATGGCCTCACTCATCCAAATAAATGCTGGGTACAGTTTGAAGAGAAAGGATCCTTCATGCTTCAGCACCTCCCTTGTCAGACCAGCCCTCAGAGAGGTAAGTCCAGCCGAGGACAGACGTGCTTCTGCCTTTCTTCCTGCAGAGACTTCACAGAGCAGGTCTGACACACTGGGGCCTGAGGAGCAGCCACGATTGGCACAGCTGCTGTTTGTACTTGGTGCTTGTTTATCCACCCCAGAAAGGATCAAAGGCCATTCACAGTGTTGGAGGTGGGTCCTTGCAACCGACAGATCAATTTGCATCAGCTGTTTGCATAATGTAGACTCCGAAAAGATTCATCTCCCCATGGTAATCCCAAATGAAATCATTATAATCAAACTGCAAGTTACTTCATTGCAAATACAATACAAACAATGACAGGGCAATTACAGGCATGTGCTGCTGAAAACAAACACATGCTGTGCAAACAGAATGGGCAATTTCAAATATTGAGTTTGATTTAAGCACTTGGAATATACACAAACGATGGTAACACAATGACAGTTTTCCTCTCCAGGGATTTTAGGATGATCATTTTTTTTCTGTGGTGTCACTGCTGTATGACAGAGAGTTTTTTTACTAAAACATAACTTTGTGTGGTCATCTTGCTGAATAAATACAATTTTCAAAGGTCTCACAGAAAATAAGGGCAGAAGAGACACAAGTAAGGTGTTGAGTGGCATGAGAAATTTGAGATGAGCAGTGAAGTTGCAGTGCCATTGCAGCAGTGATGAAAGTGAGCACTGATGTCTGCTAAATGGCTCTAGAAAGTGTTTCAGCCATCATTTCCAGCAGCAGCTTCATTACATGGTAATCGCTGAAGTAAAATCACAATCACACTACAAATTTCCTCATTGGTGTGTCAGTACTTTGCAGGCTGGCAATACGTGGGTGTTGAGTTGACACTGTCTTTTAAAATGTTTAGAAATTAGTAACTTTCAAGTGCCAAATGTACCAGACAGCAATAATATAAATTACAGAGCTAAAGCAGTGCACTTATTGTTACAAGAAGTTGGATTTTTTTTCATTCCTAAAAGGTTAACAGGTGTGTAATTAGATGTAGGAGATTAGGACCTGGTCCAGAGGCCATTGAAACCAGCAGGAATCTTTCTGTTAAGACAATAGATGCTACAAAAGGCTGCTGGAGTTGTTCCAAGCTGCACAGTACCTGTGGTGTGTATCAGAACGGGTTCACTTCTTTCACTGCAGCCACCCAGGTTTTGGGCTCTGACACAGATCTGATACTTTTGTGTTGGCTGGAGGTGAATTAGGACTTCGCAGTTAGGGATCCCAACAATAGATCTACAGAAAAGAAATCCATGGAAATTACAGGGTACAAAACAAAGGTAGGCCTTTGAAATTATTTTTCTGAGCAACAAAGAAGACATTACACTTCAACTTTCATGTAACCAATCAACAACAATTTACCTTGTACAGTTGTCAGTAGCAGGGCAAGAGAGAGTCTGTCACAGACCACAGATTTTTACATTTGCTTCTGCCCTTTTCCCATACCCATAATTCTCATATAGAAATTTCTGATTAACATTTTATAGCTGATTTCAGTAAGAGGATTGTTTGTAAATGTAAATTCACCAGAAGGTCATGGGTCCTTCCTTAGTCCTATCTGATGCCACTAAACTGAAATGGTTTCATCTCTACAGGCCATGGGATCAATAGAAGAGTAACTCACTCAGTAATAATATCATCATTTTCTTCATCTGTCAGCTTGGACAATTCAACTGTGTAGGAATCAACAGGATTAATGTCTCTGGATTCCCAGCACACCAGTGCTGCATTTTCACAGCTTCGGATCTTTTTATTCTTTATGGTAGGTGGTGAAGGAGCTAAAAAGCAGGGCAAAGAACAATTCTAAGTTGTTACTTGAAGATGTTTGCAAACAACATGCTTTGAAGACAAAAAAATAGAAAAATGTTGTTTACTAATGCTGTGTAGTAAAAAAGCCTGCTTCTCCAATGGACAATAAACACCAGGTAGAGTGATTAACAGAATTATAAAGACTTCATTTAGACTATAAAGGTCCCAATAGAATTAAACAGAGACCTAACATAAAGACTGATTACACAACTGTTTTCTATCATTAGTTTTATCTTTGTCATAAAGGTGCATCTCTGCTCTGAGATGTCAAAGACATCTGGAACAAGCCCTTGAAGGTCTCACACTGATTTGCTCAGTCTGATGTCAGGATTTCACACAATGTCCTAGACTGAGCTGCAGTTTAGAAGAACAGCATAACAGGTGAATCCACAAAATGTCCATAGGCCAATAAAAGGAGAGCTGGGATACATCTGGCAGAACCAGGAAACCTGAACTTTATTCACAGCTGGTCTACATGCTTGTATTTAAATCAGTTATTTTATTCTCTGCTTCTGTTTCTTCCACTCTGAAACAGGGACAGTTGGCATGATAGGCTCTCCAAACAAAAGTAGGGAATTCCCATGCAGTCTGGAGGCTTCCGTCAGAAGAAAGAAAGCACCCAGAAAGCATTACTTAAGAGATAATTTTGAATTTCACTATGGAAGTTACAAAGTCATATGAATGAAATATTTTTACCTGTTACATAAACTGCTCTTTCACTTGGTGGACTGATACCGGAGGCATTTAAAGCACTGACCCAAAATTCATACTGTGTATTTGGCAACAGATCAGTAATGGTGCAGTATGTTTCTTTGACTTTTAGTGTATGCTCTGAAATGACAACAACAAAGCATTTACAGTGCCTTTACACACTTGCCCACTCTTCCCCAAAACTGCATCACACAGTGGAGCTGAAGTGCATTGTTTTGGGTGCTGCATTCAGGAGAGCTCTTTGTGCTCCACACCCCTTGATCAGCAGGAAGGCATTTTTAAAATGCCTTCCTCTAAAGCTGCATAAATCAGATGGGACAAGAGCTGAAGCTATTTTACTGCTCATTTCTCATTCTTCATCTTATAAAATTTTGATAGTTTCTGCTTTTTTTTCTCAACTGGCCACTGGCACTCTACTGGCTTCCACTTTTGAAGGTTCTGCAAGAACAGTATTAGCAAAGGCAGTTTTGTCACAAGGCTGGGACATTTTGGTTCTGTTGCTCTTTGTGTGCTTGTGCATCTTAAGAAGTTACAGCCTATTATTAGCACTAAGATAAGCTGTAAAATCATCTGGGGGTTTCAGTTGGAGTGCTGATAATATGATGATTTGCTCTTTAAAAATAATGTGCCATAGATGCAGCACATGTTCTAATACAGTGCCCACCCTCCAGAAATCCGTGTGACTCCATCCACTGTCCCCTTCCCATTCCTGCTATCCCTGCTGCTGCCGTGTCCTGTCTTAGCTCCTGTGATGGTCCTGCTGCAGCTGGCAGCATGGCAGACCTGGCAGGGGAAGAGGGACAAAGCAGATGGTGGTGGCAGATAGGACAGTTTTGGTGGCAGACAGAGTGCACAGGGCATGCAGAGGCACTTTGGCATCAGCTGGTTTTGCCAGTGGAGGGCTGAGGTGTCCCTTTGCCCCAAGCCTCCTTACCTGCTGGCCCATCACTGTGCCTCTCATTGCTCACTGGTTGGTAGCACAGCTGATAGCACTCCACAGTGTCATCCGAGAAGAGGCCCCAGCAAACTCTCAGTGAAGTGCCAGTTGCTGCATTGGGAGCCTGGGGATTGATCACAGGGGCACAAGGAGCTGCAGAGGAAAAAACAGGTCAGTTTTTGAATGTATAATCATGGTTTGTTGTACCTCTCTTCTCACAAAGATGTTTGCACAAAGCCTTGGCATGAAAAGGGTCATGGTCATATTCCTCCATTCCTCCCACATGGAGAAAAGTCAGGAGCTGACTCTGTCAACAACTGCAGATAGTAATCAAGTCACTTGTGTGTGAGAACTAGTCTAGCTTCAAAACAAAGTCAAACCAATGAAATAAATAAACCTCAGGCAAGTTATCACCAATTAAGTGTGCCTGACCCCTCAACAGCAGGGGGAAATCTTCATGAGTCTTCTAGGAAATCATCCAGCAAAAGCAAGGAAGTCCCAGTTTAGCAGTAATTCTGATAATTTTATATTGAAAACAAATGGGGGGAAAAAATCCAAAAATGTCTTCCAGTGTCCCTGTATATACAGGCAAAAAAAAAAAAAAAAAAAACTAGAAGGAAAACTAGGGAGAAGTTAATTCTGCCTTTTCAGATCTCCTTTAAAAGAAGTAATGTTTAATACATATCCTTACTTAAATGTAAATAGGTGTGAAATAATGATCAATTAGGAAGAGTACCTGGAATAGCATTAATGGAATTCATTAGTTGTTCAACTTCAGAGACATCTATGACCCGCTCTTCAAAGTCTGGCAGTGTTGAAAGCTCTAAATCCACTTCTTTCTTTAAGAATTCTTCCAGCCTGTAATTGTAAGAGGAAAAAAATAATGTCTAATTTGAAGTATCATAGTGTTGGAGGCATCTGTCTATGATGCCTATTTTTAAGAGAAAAAGAACAGCAGACTCCAAATTAACATCCATTTCCTTAAAATGCCATTTTCATAGCTGTACAAGCTCAGCCTCCTCTGCCTGCTGCCTGGAGATATGTGGCCATCAGTGTCCCAAGGTGCCAAAGAGAGCTGGCTGCTGCTGGGATCGAGGGCCACCCTGGTGTGCCCCGCTCCTGCAGCGAGCTGGCTGCGCACACTGAGCAGGGGAGTGGGGTGTGCCCAGCACCTCGCTGTGGGAAGCACCCTATCAGCTCCATAACTTCCATTATTTTGAATTTACACTATTACTAATTCACGACCTCGTTGCTCTAGGTGTTGTAAATTTGAAAGAAAGGGTTATCTTTTCTCTGTGCTTTCATGAACAATAACAGTCAATTAAGAGGCTGTTTTTTGCATATGATTTAGTGTGGCCTAAGACTTCTTCAAATTGCTTCAAGATTTTGCAGTATCTGTTCTGAGCTCCCACAGCTTGACTTTCTACTCCACTATATTAATCCATAAATAAGCCCGTTACAATATATTTAGGGAGCTCAAATTTAGTCTCATTTGGATCCAGAGTGTTTTTTTTCAAGAGCTTTAGCAATCCTGTTTCTCAGTAAAATTAGTTCCTTATGACTAAGCTGAAAACACTGATTTATTCAGGCTCTAACTCTCCTTTCAGATTTCTTGAAACTGGATCCAAACAAGTGTTGAGTGTTAAGTTTCTTAGAGCAACTTTTTCTGATGCACTTTAAAACAAAAAATGCTAAATATTTCAACAGCTCCAGTGGCTTAGACAACATTTGTGTGCCTGAACAAAGTCCAGACCACACAAGCATCTCCAATAACCTGTTCCATTAGCAGGAAGAAATGTGACACAAAATCCAAGACTGTGATACTACCTGTCAACCATGGTTACTGCTGCCTGTTGGAAAAAAAGGAGAGAGAGTTAGAGTTAAAAAAGTTCAGAGTGAGACTACCTCATGCTGGTGGCCTGTCTTACACAAATTGCCCCAAATGCAATACTTGGAATGAAGTAATTTGCTCTCACCCAACTCTGAGAACAAAGCCAGCCCTTTCTATTGAAATGGACAGATCTTGGCTAAATTTACAGTAAGATAATGAGCAATATCAGGTAGTCATCAGTGTCTGCCCATCTAGACTTTAGACTGATTCCTCCCTTGGTTGTCCAAAGTGCCAACAGATCCCTCACAAATAAAAACCAAAATCATCTGGGCAAAAGAACTAATGAATTGTTCTGTGCTGGAGGGAGTCTGAGCAGTGCATGTAACTGGAAGACAGGTGTGCAGTGCCATGAGAAACCTCAGCCCCTGAGAGCTCAAGACCAACATTCACTTCTTGATGAATAATGGCTCTTAGGGGCAATATAAAGCTGTTTACAAGCTAAGAAGAAAATAAGTTTATTCTAGAGATGCAGAAGAATGGGAGAAGTCAGCTCATGTGAAGAACTTAGTAGGCTGGAGTCATAGCAAACTGACCCACAGAAGTAGACTAGGTGGTATTATGAGATTTGTTTATTGTCCAGTTCAGAAATTACTGTCACTGTAATACAGAAATGCTCCCACCCACCTTAGTCACAGGACAGCTCAGGTGAGAGCAATCACTCATCATCAGTGAAAATTCTGATTTTTTTTCCAATTATTTTTCTACCTGCCAAAGAAAAATATCTTCTTGACACCACCTCAGGAGTGGGATTTCATCCATAACTTTGCAGGAGCTCTTGACGTATTTCAGCTGAACTTTCCTCCAAAATGAGCAAGAAAAGGAAACATCTTCCTAAGTGATTACATCAGCCTGCCTGCTGTGAGCCCAGAATAGAGCAAGAGAGCTGAGCCTGCACAAGGCAAGGAACACTAAGTGCTTTCAGAGTTTCCCCAGATAAGTATTTCAGCAAGATATCTTCTCTTTGAACCCCAGTGTGACTCAAAAATGAACAAGCATCCAAATTACAAACTTCTGCTTCTGCATTTTGCCCCCATTGTGTTGCTCTACTAAGTCAATGCCACCATGACAAGAACCAGGAGCAGTGACATCACCATGGACTGAGCATCCCAAATTCTCCTTAGCAATAAGGCTGCTTGGAACTTCTCAGATAGGAACTACTTGCAAACATCAAAAAGCACTGTGACAGTTAAAGCTCTTTACCTTCATAAATTCAGCTTTGTCGTTTTCCAGGAAAAGCTCCTGGGTTTCATCTGTCAGCTCCTTGCAGGTGTCAAGATGTTTCCCACAGCTGACCAGCTGCTCATACAGAGCTTCCAGCTTCTGCCTCTTCTCTTCTCCCAGTGCTTCCAGCTGCTCCTCATACTTCTGAGCAAGCACTTGCACTGCATCATTGTAATGCACCTCAAAGTTCTGCTCCTGCCTCCCAAAATTTTCCTGCAAGGTATTTGAAGGTTTGTACCTTGGCATCAAGCCTGATCCAAAGGTCATGCAGAGAAAAATCTTACTCTAGTCTGCATAGACTTCTCCTTACCATAGAGGTAATATGTCATGATTTAATTCACAAAACTAGGAAATGGTACCAGTACACAGAAGCTTTAATTTGACTTATGTGCATTTTTAGGGGTTTACTCTGATCATTCACCCCCCACCAAAGCACAAAAGTGTTGGATTTTGTTCCAGACATAATAGCAACAGAATTACAGCAGGAACAATGATGTAAAGCAACATAAACCCAGGGAGCACAACTAGGATATATCCTAGCCATAATCTCACAAGCATTTCCACCAACACAGTCAACCACATCCTTCCATGAAAGAAACCAAGGTAACTCAGTGGGATAGGATTTGTGCTGAGGGAGCTGAGTAGCTAATGCTGGTATCCTCACTCACAGCTGGAGAAAGCATTAGGAAGGAAGATTTAAGGAGCAGGCAAGTCAAGAAGCAGTCCCAGCAGCTGCTCACTGTTCAGGCACTGATGTCCTCCTGTGCCACACGCAGCAGAGAAAAGACTGCAGTGCCTTGAGTTATTGCTTCAGTTTGAACTTTCTGCCAGCTGACCTCCTTCCCCTGGGGCCAAGTTGAGAGCAGTGAGCTGGAACACAACTCTTGAAGTCATCAGCCTCATCAACAGCTGGTCCAAGGATTTGCCTGGATTTGACACTTCTGTGAATGAAGCTGAGGGAACACAAGGGCTGCACTCCGGACTGACTAATTAGATCACAGCTCTTTGGCCATTTAAAGCTAAGATGACCTGAGTGGGGGGTCACTTTATTTTTGAATGCAAACTTCTGTGCAAATTATAAATGTGGTTTTACTAGCCCACTTAAAAAAATCTTTAGGATGAGCTTTCCTGAGTATTTCAGTCTAGACAAACCCCAAGATAACTCTGTGCTCTGTTACTGTATGTACTCACCTCATTAACAACTGAAGACTATGAATGTCAGTATGACTGTTTAACCTCACTACCATAAAGTTAGCCTAAGAGAAAATGCCTTACCTCTACAGTGATGAAGATTTCCTCCAAATGGCTGGCAACATTTTCCATCTGAGCAATCTGTTCTTCCAATTTGCACATGTTTTTATGGATCTCCTCCTACAAAACACCTAGTGTGATTCTTACTGTCTGAAGACTGTTTTAGAGGCACCACAGTACACCCGTGTTACTCTCACCTTTTCACTTTCCACAGCACTGGGGAGCTGAGCAACCTCGTGATCCTTGTGTTCACCAAATAGTTTGTCAAAAGCTCGGATTGGTATCTTGCAGGTGGAACAAAAAACATCTGCTGCTTCTTCCTCTTCCTCTTCCTCCTCCTCCTCACTGACAGCCTGACTGTTCCACTCATCTGACATGCCGCCACTGCTTAGCCCCCCTCTGGACCATATGCTGCTCTCAGCCTCATCATCTGCTCTGGCTTTGCTCTGATTTTCACCTTGAGAAGCCTCATCAGGAAACCCTTGTTGCTTTGTGCTTTGACTTGGATCTTTCACTGAAGAGCTGCTTTTTGATATGTTATATATGGAGTCTTGTAATCCTGCTTTTCCTGTGCGAGCTGGTGGCCATCTGCTCTCCACCTTCTCCAGATGTCCTTCAAGAAGCTCAAGCTCTTTTTCTCTATCCTCATCGAGTCCATACATCTTAGCCAACTCTGCAACCTCCTTTTCCAAGTCATAGCCAACTTCTTGTGGGCGCTGAACTTTTTCACTACTCAATGCAGATTCCCTCCTCGTATCCCCCAGAGATCTGTCTCCTTGACCAGAGAGCTCTTCAGGAAAGATATCAAACCTCTCCTTTGATCCATAGAGATCCATGTGATAGAAGATCAGACCTTCAGTCTCAGTGTCACTGGCCTCTGGGACTGGTGGGGAAGCTGAATGATGTTGTGACTGGCTGTTAGTCTCATAGTCTCTCGTGCTGCCAGATCTGGATGACATTGGTATCCTCAGGGAGGCTTTTGAGATGATGAGTCTCAAGCTTGTAAAAGATAAGAAAGGTTTTTACCTACATACTTAGATACCAAGATTGAGTTTTTCTTGCTTAAAAGTATATGGATAGGATAGATTTGGCCGAGGACTGCTCAGGTCCTGAAGCAGAAATCTTTTGGAAAAACCAAAGTCAGTAGCTTCGCTCCCTAAGTGAAGCTTCTGAAGGGAAGCTACAGGAAGCTTGTTTTCTTCTCACCCCAGTGCAAAGCACAGCAGAGAGCTGTCTCTGGTGTGCATCCTCTTTTCTGAGTACCTCATCTGTGACCATGATCCCTGATTTCCAAACTGTGGAGTAGTCCTGTCCTCAGATAAACGCTGTGACTGTGCTCCAGGCACAGTTAGTGCCGTTCTGAGCAATTTGAAATGGCCTGGTTTGAAGCCTGCTCACTCCTCGGCTGCTGTCAAGCATGTTTTCTGAACTGTCAGTCAGGCATAATGTAGAATGTCCTCTGCTGTGACCACTGATGCCACAGAACACACAAGTAAATGCCCTGGAAAGTCCTGCTCTGTACTTTTCAAGGTGCCATTCCTAATACTGAAACTTGATTCGAGGTCTTGGGTCCTTTCTAAAAAATATCACAGAGGAAACATACTGCTCTTTGGGGTTTCTCATGTGCTGTGGAAAATATGCATTTTAACATAAAAAGCATCCAGTAACTAGGGAACAAGGCAAACCATTGACCTGGACTGAGAGATGCCTGCTCTGACCCAAACCTTGCACGTTTTGTCTATTCTGTGCAAGGAGGGAGGTGTGAAAAGAGCATGTGCAGGTGGCATGCAAAGCTGTATGATAAAGCAGATGCATGTGGGATAACATTAAAAGTGCAAAGGTAATTTTAATGCTGATTCCCAGGCCCACTCTTTCAAATCAGCCTGTATTAAGGCAGTGAAATAATGCCAGTACAGAGTCAGAGCTCTTTCTGAGCTGAAATGTCCCCACAGCCCTTCACTGCTCACCAACATGAATGGAATCATAGCTACAAAACTACTCAGATCAATTTTATCAGCAGTTTAGTACCACAAGCAAAAAATTTCATGGAAAGATTTCAGCTGAATATCAATTAATCTGTAATTATATCTAGTCCTAGGTAAGTGAAACATATGAAAGCTTTAAAATCACTTTCTCACAGAAGAAAAAAGCCCAAAAGGTTGGTCAGACATCAGTGTTATCAGAGCTTCTGGATAAGCTTTCTTATAAGATTGCTTTCAAACTACTATTTATGGTCTTTTTAGTTTTGAAGAGTTGCCATCACCTCAAATTTATTTCATCAGTATTTTACTAATTTTCCTGAGAAATGCTTAGCTAACAGAGTCAACACAGTAACTTTGTAGAAAGCAACTTCCCAAACCAGTGAAAAATACTGAGACATTTTGCACTCTGGTTTTATATCCCTGGCTGAGTCCAGCTCTACAGACCTGTAAGAAAACCTACACAGAAGTTCATCGTTTGTCTTCTGGCACTGCAGACATGGGTGTGGATTCTACAGTTAGCAATATCCTACTATGCACATAAAACACTGAAGTTAGGCAGAAATACTATTTATGCTAAAGGCAATGAAATAAATCATGCAAATTCTAACATTTTAAACAGAGAAAAGATCTTAACACATACCAGAAAATGTTGTCTGGTTCCCGCAAAGACTTTTTTCCCCATAATTAAAACAATAAGGCTTGCTTTAGAAGCTACCACTAATTAGAAAAGTGAATTAACATTTATTTTTCCTACCAAAATGAAATGAATTAAAATTAGCATAATTAAGCTTGTCTGCAATCCTGCTGCCTAAATAAGATTTTCAGATGATTGCTCAGTGTTTGCTTGCTTTGCAGGCACAGATAAAATTACATGAAGCACGTTCAGATCCGTGACCGTCAGTTATCGTAAATACACAACAAAGAAGGTTACTACCTAAAAACTTGCCTTCTATCTTAAGACGTCATAAATTCTTCTGATAGCTCAGATGGCATCAAAGTTAACTTCTATTCCCCCTAGTAAAAATTAATTCACACGAAAGCAATTCCTTGCCACTTTCCTATAACTGCAGTTGGAAGACTTATTGCCGTAACCTTACCCTGCCTCTTTGCTCAGATAGGGGCATGCCAGCAATGAGCAATGGCACAAATATAGATGTTCCCCAGCTGTCCTTCAGCAGTGTGCTGCTTGAGTGTCACCAGGACGAACGTCATACACTGAGAACAGGCTCTGAAGTACTTTGAACGGTTACAGAGAGCCCTCACTGAAGCCAGAGTACCCTCTCACTTTTGGAGGTGGTATTAATAAACGCTGCAGAGTGCACTCATTGCCTCTGAGTGTGATTTCCAAGGCTGGGGTGTTAGGCAGAGTGTCCTGTGTGGGATACACAAAACGTGCAAACAACTCACATGGCTGGACATGTGTTTACAGAGTTGCAAAACTTAATGGAAGTACCTGTTTTGTTCTTTGCAAACACTTACAGGTAAAGTCCTCTCTCTCAAATTAGCAGGAGCTTTTCTATGGGGCTGAGTTGAAATCATGATCACATATTAGGGAAAAAAGAAAAAATAAAGTCTAGAATTTAGAAAACAAAAAATCATACCGTTGCATATGCTTATTATACTTATCCATACATCATCACCCTGTGTGTGTATGCCACAGCTCTGGAAAGCTAATTATGGTCCCCACTAGGGAGGTCTTCACAGGAATATATATCCCTGCAGTCTGTGCTCAGTAGGGGTCTACCTGATAAAAAACAGGCTGTGTGTTACCACTGATTATTGTGACTGCTGTAGCACTTGAGCTTTGTGAATCTGCTCAAACCCACAGCTCCCCAGCACACACAGGCTGCTGCTTGTGAACATGCTACTGAGCCAGCCCTGCTGGCAGCAGATTTTTAAGCAGGTTTGAGAATATTGTATTATATATGGCTTGAGCTCAGGGGACGCCACAAGGGACAACGTCTATTAGATCTTGACACAGCTCTGCTTTTTCCTCCTTTTCCAATTATCTTCGTGTCATTTCCTCACTTTTCTAGCAGTGCAATTGTTTGCTGTTTGGTGAGGAATCACAAGTTAATTGCCCATGTAGGCACGATCTCATTACTGCTAACAGTGCTTCTATCATCTGTGAGATTAGAGCAGAAGTGTTTTCATACAAGTGACGCAGCCCTTGCTGAAACGTTAACATTTATGCTGTCTGACAGATTTGATTAATTTTTCAAACGAGAGCTTATTTTTGCTTTGTGTTAAGCTACGTTACCTTACAGGCCTTAATTTCTCAAAAAATTAGCAGTACTTTGCTGCCAAAGACTGGAATATAGCATTTGGTGGAGAGTGAATTGCATTCTCCCTGGACACAGGGCCTGAATAAGAGAGCAGTGACACTGCTCTTGTTCACCCTGCTGCTCTTTGCTCCCCTCGGTTCCGTGAGGCAGCATTTGGGTGCCATTTATACAACGCATGGTGACCTCAGGGCTGAGTTGGGGGTCAGGACGAGCCCCCCTGGCTGTTGTGGGTGCAGGCCCCAGAGCTCAGGTTCTGTCTCAAGGCAGCGTGGGGAAGGAGCGTGGGGCTTGCCTGGCACTGCGGAAAGCTGTGGACTTTGGCGAGGACACAGGAACGATGGCCAGGAGGGAACTGCCCCTCAGGCAGCGGCTCAGACACGGGGCTGTGTGTCCCCTGCTCCCTGCCCACCACCCCTCACAGCAACAGCAGCTTATTTCACCAAGCTTTCTCCTTCCAGTACCTGAAGGAAGCACACAGGAAAGATGCGGCAAGATTATTGCAAGAGCATGTACTGACAGGACAAGGGGGAACGGACTCAAATTGAGAGTCGTTTTAGGTTACGTATTGGGAAGAAATTCTTTACTGTGAGGGTGGTGAGGCCCTGGCACTAGTTGCCCAGGGAAGGTGTGGATGCCACATCCCTGAGGGCCCTCACAGCCAGGCTGGATGGAGCTCTGAGCAACCTGGCCTGGTGGAAAGAGTCCGTGCTCATGGCAGAGGGGAGGGAACGCGATCTTCGGGGTCGCCTCCCAACACCACCCATGCCATGCCATGCCATGCCATGCCATGCCATGCCATGCCATGCCATGCCATGCCATGCCATGCCATGCCATGCCATGCCATGCCATGCCATGCCATGCCATGCCATGCCATGCCATGCCACGCCATGCCACGCCCCGGTGAAAAACGGCCTTTGCCGGTGCCGCCTCTCGCTCTTTCACTGCGGCACTGTTTATTTCCACCCCGCCGTGAGGGCCGCCCTGGCCCCGCCTCCGTATCGGCCCCGCCCCATGACTCCGCCCCCGAGGCCGCGGCCCCGCCCCCTGCCGCTCCCGCCAATGGGCGCGGGCGCTGCCGGTGACGCTGCGGCCCCGCCCCTCCCGCCGCTCGGTTTCTGTTTCGCTCCGGGCCCGCGGGGCCGCCGCCGCGGCGATGGAGCCGCAGCCCGACAGCCTGGAGGGGTGGGTGGCCGTGCGCGACACCGCCTTCGCTGAGCCGCAGCCGCCGCCGCGGCTCCGCTTCCTCGTGGGGTGGAACGGCGCGGAGGGCGCGTTCGCGGTGACCTGCCACGGGCGGGCGGAGGCGGCGGAGCAGGCCCCGCAGAGCTGGGCCGGGCTCTTCTCGGCGCCGGCCCTGCGCGGCGTCCACCGGCAGCTGTCGGCCGTGTGCCCGCGCCTGGAGCCCGCCTTCCCCGAGCTGCCGCCCGCGCTGCCCGGCGCGGCCTCCGGCGGGCTCTGGGCCGTGCTGTTCCCCGGCGGCGCCGCGCCGGGTGAGGCCGAGCTGCAGGAGCTGTGCCGGGCGCTGGAGCTGTACCTGGGCTGGGCCCTGGAGCTCTGCGGCGGCCGCGTGGTGCTGGACGTGCTCTTCGCCGCCGACCGCTGCTGCGACGACGAGTACTTCGAGAGCCTCCACGAGCTCCGCGGGAAGGCGCTGCGCGGCCACCTGGCCCGGGCCAAGGAGGCGCTGCGGCGGGTACGGGCCCCGGGGCCGGGCGCGGGGAGGGCCGCGGGGCCGGGGCTGCCGGGCGGGGGAACGGGCCCCTCGGGGCGGGACTGCCTTCAGCGTTCGGGGCTGCGGCTCAGCGCATGGGTGCACCTGTCTGAGCTCCGGCTTGGCGCACCGTGCTTGCCTGGCAGTTGCGTGATAAGCGTGGCAGCCCCTGCTGCTGCGGGACTTCATCGATCAAGGCAGGCTCGACAGACTCACGTCAGCAAGGGTGGCCAAGTCACTCATACCAGCTTGCTCATGGTGTTGTCCAATCTCCAGATTCCTGCTTACACAAACACTTTTTTATTGCCTGAAAGCGACAGTGTCACTTTCTGAAATACTAAGTGTTGGAAGTGCACCTTTATTAAGTGGGGAATAAGCCACGTCCACGTGGGCAGTCACTGTAAGGCACTGGGGCTCTTACTTAAGCTGCAGGCACTCCTACAAAAACACATTGCTAAAAACATCCAGCAGTGTTGGGCAATGGGTGGAACAGTAACCGAAGAGGAGAGTACAATCCTGGTAATTTTCTAATCTCCCTGTGAAGGTCTCATGCTACATGTTTGCAACTGGGTCTTTTTTTAAGATTCTCAGTCTTTTTTTAAGACCAAACTTAGTCTTGGTCCTATACAAATAAGTGGTTTGTATTCAAAGAAATTGTGTGTGTGGGTTTTTGTTAAGTGTCAAATTCTGTCCTAATAATTGAAGTAATGATGACGTTAGCACTTTATTCCTTTGGTGCCTTAGGTTTCTTCTTGCTATAGATGTGTTCCTGGATCTTTTCCCCTTCTTGTAAGCAAGAATTCAAAGGGTGGTGTGTAGTAATAGAGTTGCAGTTAGGACATCGGAATGTTGATGAGTTACAGATACTTCAGGCTCACCAATGTGTTGCTGCTGTTTCTTGCAGTACCTGTTTAGAGTCTTATTTTCTGGCAAAGTAACCTGGAGGGTATTTTATGAAAGTGGTCATGCTTTGGGGGAAAGTTATGACAGTTGACATCAGTCTTCTCTTTCCTATTGCAGTATTTAACAGATGAAACAACACTACTTCTTCAGAAAGACACTGTTTTTAAAAACACAGCTTTAGTTTACATGAACATGTACCTTGTTGTATACAAAAGTCAGTGTCTGTCACTGACTAACAGTTCACAGCCCAGTTAGAAACACATTCCAGTCACCACTTTCTTCTGGAAACAGCACAAGCCTGTTCAGCTCTGTGGCACTTTGGGGCTTCATGGTGAAGTACAGCTTGGTGCTTCTGATAGTTACTCTGATTTCCAGCTATGTTTTATATATGACTAAACATGCTGTAGAGTGCTGTTGTATTTGCAGGCCTAAAGGGGCATATATTCCTTATACTGTAGCCTAGACCACTTTATGGAAGATTCAAGAAATAGACATTAAACCAGTCCTTTTCCCCTTTTTTCATTAATGTCCTTCACTAATACTTCCCCTCTACTCACTCTAAGCATCCTCCAGGAGCAGCATGACCCTCCCTTCTTACTTTCAGAATATGAATCAAAAAGTCAGCTCCTGCATTTGTATTTGGCTTCCATACTGGGGCAAAAGCAGGCTGAAGTTGCTGCACTGAGCTACTACCCAGGGAGGCCCAAGAGGCTGTCGCAGTTGTGGGATTATCAGAAATGTTGCAGTTCAGATTCTCTTGTTCTCATCTTGCCTGCAGACAGGGTGGGTGGGAAATGCCCTTGAGCTGACTTCCACAGATTTCCCCTGGGGAAGTTCCTCCATACATGGGAACTCAGCTGTCTTACCCTGACTCAAGGCAAGAACAAAGGTGATGGTTTAATTTCAGTGCTTTTTTTAATGCTTTTTCTCACTACGGGTAGCACACACACCCCTCCCATCCTCTTCATGGAGCTGCAGAGCACACGCTGTCCTTCCAGGAAGGTCTGTTTCTCAGTGGAACTTTGCTGTGTTCTCTCAGCCAGCTCACTCTATCCTGGCATGTAGAGCATGCCATGGTCTCTGCCAGCTGGTGTCAAAGAAAAACCATTGAAGCTTTGATTGGTACCAGTAAACAAATGCAATTGAGGGGAAATCCCCAGCTTTTTATTTTGTCATAGAAGGAAATAAATAGAGCCTAGTATATCAAAAGGCAGTAATTCCATAGAAGAATTATGACTTACAAAGTGCAATACCACTAGAACTGAGGTTAGAATAAACTATTATAAATCATACAAATGTTCAAGGAATTTAACTGCAGGGTGTATCAGAAGTAAATGCCTATTAGTTTTTTTTCTGTGCCTGAAGTCAGAAATTCTGGATCCAGAAACTCATTAGCAGGCATTTAGTAATTGTGGAAGCAATGCAACTGCTAGTTTAAGAATACCTTGCTTGTCGTTCCAGTACAGACTTCCCAAGATTCCCATTTATGTTTATAAAAAGCAGCAGCCAAGTCATCTGCACACAGTTATTAGAATGTTTCTGGTGGGTGCCCTAGGCAGGATGCTCCTTGCAGGCTCCTGATGGAATGTGCAGCAATTAGTGCCTTTAACAGTGTGGTGTTGGAGGTATTTTCATCTGGGGTGGCTGCAGAATGCCTGGAACTGGCCTC